CCAGGGCCGCCCGCGGTTGCGCCTCGGGGACTATTTTTAGGCCCCCCGGCTCGGGTTGCGAATGAGCAGTGAAGGGAGGGGGCAGCAGAGGAGGGGACTTGGACTCCATGTGGTTTCTTCTCTCTCTCCCAGGGCCCCCATCGCCAGAGCTGACCTAAAAGAGTCTCCTCCCCATGGCATGTCTGTCCCCCACTCCCCCGCCCCCAGGCAGAGGTAGCTGGGGAGTCGAGTTACCCCTGGGCTCAGGCCCACTTCCTTTCTTCAGCCCAGCTCCCCAGCCTCACTAGGCTGCTGGAGAGGGAGAAGAAAGGTCCAGAGGAGATGTCTGAGAGGTGCATGGAGAGACAGGCCCCAGCAGAGGCGAGCAGAGGGACCAGTGGGCTCTCCCAGCATCTCCCTAACAGCTGGTAAGCTCCAAGACCCACACCCTGGAGTTCCGGTGGAGTTCTGGCTCCTGGCTGGTCCTGCACTCGCTGCTACCAACCTCCACCTTCGCGGGCCAGGTCACCGCCAACCCTCTCACAATCTGCCCATACCTGTATTAGGCCAGGATTGAAACTAGCAGCAAATGCAGCCAGGGCAATAGAGATAGAAGGACACCACGAGGAGAATACGGTGAAAGAGGGGTCTGCAGGGCTTGAAATGTGGGACTCCATTCCGAAGGCAGGAAGTGCTGTAACTGATTATAAGATGTAGCAGATGATTCTTTTGCCCATACTTGTGGAGGTTTTACACACACACACACACACACACACACACACACACACACACACACACGAGTAGAGACAGATGCCTAGGCCGCTAGACACAAGTTGCAGTCCCTCACTACCTTCCCAGATGCCCAGTTTCCTCAGCTGTGCCCACTCTGAAGGGCAGGTCACCAGGGAAGGGCAGGGAAACTGCCAAGGTAGAGGCTTCCCCCGTGGAGGTCAGAGGTCAAGGGTCAGCAGTTAGTGGGCCTAGCCTGAGACCCACACAGACCGATTACCCAATAGTACAGAAGCTCTTCTCACTAGTCTAGTGAGAGAAACCCCCGGGAGACAGACACATAAACAAGAGTGCATTTTAAACTGGTAAATCTGATAAGCTTGGTATACCATGCCAATGTCACTTTCCTGGTATGCATACAAGATGTCACCCCTGGAAAAACCCAAGTGAAGTGTCCAGGATCTTTCTGTGTTATCTCTGACAGCTGACTGTATTATGTTTCAGAACAACAAAGATTTAAGGTATAGGGCCTGGGGGGTACCTCAGTATTAGAGGACTCACTCATGTAGGATTTCTGAGACCCCCCAGTTCCATTTGCAACCCCCCCTCTCTCACACACACACACACACACTCACACACACACCTTTAGAGATCCAGACCTGACGGTGAGTTCTAAAGGGATAAACCTTGGGAAGACTGAAAGCCAGGGTCATTCAGAAATGGGGGAAAGCATTCTTGACTTGTTGGATGGTTAAATGAACCATTTTCATCCTGGGAAACTGAAGTCAAAGTGTGTGCGCGCCCATGTGTGTGTATAGAGGGGGGGCAGGTATGCATGTGTGTGTATAGAGGGGGGCAGGTATGCATGTGTGTGTATAGAGGGGGGCAGGTATGCATGTGTGTATAGAGGGGGGGCAGGTATGCATGTGTGTGTATAGAGGGGGCAGGTATGCATGTGTGTGTATAGAGGGGGCAGGTACGCATGTGTGTGTATAGAGGGGGCAGGTACGCATGTGTGTGTATAGAGGGGGCAGGTACGCATGTGTGTGTATAGAGGGGGCAGGTACGCATGTGTGTGTGTAGAGGGGGCAGGTACGCATGTGTGTGTATAGAGGGGGACAGGTATGCATGTGTGTGTATATAGAGGGGCAGGTATGCATGTGTGTGTGTAGAGGGGGCAGGTATGCATGTGTGTGTGTAGAGGGGCAGGTATGCATGTGTGTGTATAGAGGGGGGCAGGTATGCATGTGTGTGTGTAGAGGGGGGCAGGTATGCATGTGTGTGTATAGAGGGGGCAGGTATGCATGTGTGTGTATAGAGGGGGCAGGTACGCATGTGTGTGTATAGAGGGGGCAGGTACGCATGTGTGTGTATAGAGGGGGCAGGTATGCATGTGTGTGTATAGAGGGGGCAGGTATGCATGTGTGTGTAGAGGGGCAGGTATGCATGTGTGTGTGTAGAGGAGGCAGGTACGCATGTGTGTGATGGTGCTTGTGAGCATGAGCATGCATTCCCAGATGCGCAGTACAGAAGAAACAATTTAAACGCTGAATTATGTCCATAAAGATTAAGAGCCTTGGGGAATGACTTTTCATGTAGTTTGCATACATTAAAGCTGACTCTTTGTGATGTGCAAGTCCCTGGGTTTTGACAAATGCATGAAATTGTGTATTTGCTACCCCAGGAACATACAAAGGAGTCCCATCACCCTAAATATTCACGGGTGCATCCTCTTTGTAGTCAGCCACACCTTGTCTGCCAGTCCCTGCCAACCTCCAATGATGAATTGAATTCTACAATGTAGGTTGAATTCTAAAAAGATTTTTAAAAATGTGGGAGAAGGCATAATGTACAGAAGACCAAGAACAAAGGAACAGATACTGCTTCAGTTTTGTTTTTAAGCTCACAATCAGCAGAGAGGGATTGCTCGGTCATAAAGTGTTTATTGTGCAAGCATGAGGGTGGGTGTTCTGGTCCCCAGCAGCCATGTAAAATCCATACCTCTAACCTCAGTGTTAAAGGGGAGAGACACATGGATCCTAGGGGCTCCTTGGCCAGCCAGCCTACCTGAATTAGGACATTCCAGACTGGGTGAGAGATCCTGTCTTAAAATACAAGGTGAAGAGCAATAAAGAAGACACTCAGCACCAGTTTCTGTCCTCTACACATGTACGCATGGGAGGTACACCTGCATGCCACCCACCCAGACCACATGCACAAAACACCCCACCCAAAGCCATTTAACTAACACCATGCCTCACCATACAGGGAATGCAGCAGATAGTCCGTAAATGTTGGCTGACTGGCTAGTTGGTTGGTTAAATGAATGAACCATGTGACCTTGAACAAGTCACTTGACATCTCTAAACCTCAGTTTTCTCATCTCTGCATGGGGGTAGCCAAACTTGGGGTGTATTTGTTCCTTCAGCAAACATTTCTTGAGTTCTTCCTATGAGGCTGGCACCATTCCCTTGGCCAGGAACATAGCCATGGAAAAAACAGACAAAGATACCAGTCCCTGCGGTTGCTTATATTGGAGAGGGCAGACATGTGACAAGCAGAGCAACAAAGAAAATGTGAAGACTGAGGGCAGAATACGGTGTAGACGACTCAGCAGGGAATGGGGGACACAGGTGTGGCGGCGGGTGGGGGGGGCTTTAAAGAGTGACTGTAGCGGTACATGCCTACAATCCCGGCATTTCAGGAAGATGGAAATTCAAGACTAGTCTTGGCTGTACAGTGAAGGCCTGTCTCAAGCCAGTCTTGAAAGGATGAGGAAGGGAAGGATGCTGTGCAGATCATTCCAGCCCTTGTGGGATGTACCTGGAGGATTCTGGAAAGAGCCAGGAGGCCAGCAAGGCTGACAGGAATGAACGCAGAGTCAGGGCAAAATGGATCACATAGCTTGAAAAGGCCAGATGGCCCAGCCTCTTGTGGGTCATGGTGCCTTTATTCTCAGCAAGATGGCATCTCTGGGTTTTGAGAAGAATTACACGATCTGACCTATGTTGTGATGGTATTAAATTATATTAAATATTAAAATGAATATTAACTATTTAAAAGGCTCTGGCACAGGTCCTGGAACATCTTGTATCCTGCCTACTATGACCATCCAGAGGGAATACCTTGACTTGCTCCCTAGGCTCTAGGGACCTGGGTAGAGAAGGCTCAGTCCCTTGCTGGTCACTGGCGCCCTCTCCTGGTCCTGCTGAGACAACTGGGAAAGGTCAGGCTGCGGTCAGGCCAGTTGTCCGAGACAGCTGGCTGTAAGGTGTTTGTCTGTCCCTCAGTATGGGCCCCACAGCACCCTGTCTCCTGGCGCCAGGCTGGGTGTGTGTGCCGCCAGGTTGTCCTGCCTTCTGATCACAAGTCTGTGTGTCATGGAAAGATGTCTGGGCTCCACAGGCCCTGTCTTCCTTTGCTGTAGATGGCTGTGTGACCTTGGCAGATCATGCCACCTCTCTGGGCCAAGGAGCATTTCATCTAAGTTGTCTTTTGCTTGTTGTCTCTCTGTTTGCTTGTTTGTTTGTTTTGAGAGGTCAACCTGGAACTTGTTATGTAGAACAGTCAGGTCTGAAACTCATGGCGTTCCTCAACCTCCCCAGTGCTAGCCATTGGGCCTGGTTCCTCTGAGTGGTCTATACAATACTTTGTTTTTTGCTTTTGAGATCTTATTTATCTTTGTTTTGTTTTTGTGTATGTGTATGAGTGTCTGTGAATGTATGTCTGTACACCACGTGCATGAAATACCCACAGAGACTGGAGGAAGGCATCAGTTCCCTTGGGACCACAGTTACAGGTGGGAATCGAACCTGGGTCCTCTAGGAGAGCAGTCAGTGTTCTTAGCCGCCAAGCCATCTCTCCAGCCCCATCCTCCTGCACGTGGGGGTGAGGGGACATCTCAGTAAACATCCATTGAATCGGTGAAGAAGTGGGTATCACCAGCCCTTCCTAGTGAATATTTAATGTAGAGAAAAGTAAATAAACATGCCCAGTGGGTATTCATTCAAGAAGTATTTAAATATTTAATGAGTGCCTACTGTGTACCAAGTACTCTTTGGGGTGCAAGGGATATAATAGTGAATAAAGCAGATTAAAAACTGTCCTTGGGCAGCTGACATTCTTAGGCATTGAATCAAAGGTCACTGATTCATTTGCATATGTGCCCTGGCGAGCTGTGTAGAGACAAAGGAGGGGGGAATGGATGACCTCAGAGGGTAGGGCTGGAGTCCCGCCAGAGTGGACAGATGGGATAGAAGAGTGCCCACTGGGATCTAGCTGCCTCTACAGTCCTTCCTGCTCTCCTCCTCAGAGAGAATTGGAGATGGCCTGAGCCTGGTCTTCGGGCTATGGGGAGCCTCTGATTCTTGATGTAGAGTCTTGTAGAAAGGCTTCCCTTCAGAGCATCCCCTATGGAGGAGCCTCCAGAGAACTGCCACAAAGGATGTGACAGGTGAGGCTGGGAAGGGGATTCCTGCATGAGGGATGTCTGAGGTCTCACCACCACTCTAAAGACGCTTGAGCTGTTATTTAAGACAGTGAGGCTACCCCCTGACCTATGTGTCCTTTTGCCCTGTACAGAGGAGCTGTAATTCACTCAGGCGATGGTGGAGAACAACAAGGCTCTAGAAACACCTTCCAGGCTACCATCGAAGCCTTATCCACCAGGGCTAGGACCCCAGCCCAGACATTCTCCAGGAAAGTCAGCACATGTTTGAGTTTCAAAGACAGACAACTCCTTGCTTGTGCTTAGTTCTCTAAACTCATGGAAAGACACTGAATGCCATTCTGGTCTGTTCTGTGAGAATCTGACTCTACTAGGGTATGTGGGAAACAGAAATGACCAGGAGTCATAGATGAGGTGGGGACTTGAGGTGGATCCTCAAAATGGACCTGCTTCGAGAAAGTTGGGAACTGGTAAAACAGGGGTACATCTTAAATGGGAAGAAAGACAACACCACCTAAAAGAACTTGGGGACTTTTTGGAAAGCTGTTTTAGAATGACTGGTAGGGACTTTAAGGCTAAAGCCTCATTGGTTTTATTCACCTGAAACCTATATGAAGGGCAGATTAAGGAAGTCCAGGAACGCCCAAAAGAAAGAATATCAAAAGAATATCAAATATTTATTTGGGGAGACTCACATAATGAAGGTAAAGAGTCACCAAAGTCTTCTGCCCTGGAGATGCAGGATTCTGCCTGCCATTAGGGCTCCTGTCTGTCAGAGAGAAAGAGAGAGAGAGAGAGAGACAGAGACAGAGACAGAGACAGAGACAGACAGAGACAGAGACAGACAGAGACAGAGACAGAGACAGAGGGAGAGAGACCCTCCTCTTCCTTATAAGGGATATGGAGGGGCACACACCAAAGCCACTCCATTGGCAGAATGAATCCCCACCACACCTGCATGTGTTCGTCATCTCTTTGATTCCCATACTCTTCCATCTCCTTTAAAGGGCAGTCACTTAGACATGGGAGGAGCGGCAGGGAGCCTCAGGTCCAAGGGCTTACCATGTTCTTTGAATCTTTCATTGACCTGAAGCATGTTTTAAGAAATGGAAAGAAAGACAAGCTTCATGCCTGCACTCAGACCTTTGGACTACTCAGTTGTCTCTAAGCTATTGATAAGTCTTCCCCCGTAGATTGAAATGCCTCCTGAAACATACGCCGGCGTTCATATGTGAAGCTTGTTTTAGTACATGAATGTCTTATGTGGTTCCCTTTCATTAGCAAAACATTCTAAGTCAGTGGTTCTCAAGCTGTGGGTCGTGACCCCTTTGGAGGTCATGTATCAGATATCCTATATATCAGATGTTTTCGTTACAACTCATAACAATAGCTAACTTACAGTTATGAAGTAGCAACAAAATAATTTTATGGTTGGGGTCACCACAACATGAGGAACTGTATTAGAGGGTCGCAGTATTAGGAAGGTTGAGAACTGCTATAGTAAGTTGTCATTGTCTCATAATACATATACACATTTTATTCTAGGTTCACTTTTTACTTCTTTTTCTTTTCTTTAATAATTTCTCTATGCCCCTCTCATTTTCCCCTACTCGCTCAAATTTTCCTTTTGTGTGTCCTTGGCTGTTGTTGTTTGGATTTGTTTTCGTTTTTTACACAAGGGTCTTACTAGGTAGCCCAGGCTGCCATTGAATCTGGGGTCTTTGGGCTTCCACCTCTTGAGCCCCAGTGCTAAGGGTAGGGGTACAAGCAACACACCTCCCCTGGCTCCCTTTGGTATTTAAATGAGACCACATTCCATTGGAATTGCATATGGATGAGGGATAGGTTGACATTTTCTCAATGTTGAGCCTTCTTAGCCATGTAAAAATTCTGTCTGCACTTTTGTGAACATTGTTACTTTGCCTGGACTGGCCTCTGGGTATTAAAGAGCCTTAGAAAGGGTTAAAAGGTACTTGTAAGACTTAAATAAAAGGATCAAGAGTTTCAAGTTGAACCTTGGGTACAGAGGGAGTTTGAGGCTAGTCTGAGCTATATGAGATACTGTCTCAAAGAAAAAAAAAAAAAGAAGTAAACGAAAGGGCCTGATAGTTTCTGGGGAAAGGACTTGGGAGCTGTCCCCATCCCTGCCTTCACCAGATGTCCAGATGATCTGAAGGTAGCTTAAGGAAAGGGGCATCACTGTGGCATTGTAACAGAAGCCCCTTGTCCAACCTCCCCTATGCAGCACATAGACTGCAGCCTGGAGGCCTTAGAGCAATCTACCTGGCAAGAGGGTGACACCGTCCATCTCAGGGTGATGGGTGGTATGACAGGGTCCAGTCAAGACAGCAGGGGCATGTAGGTTTGTGCTTGGCTCTTTATTGTTTCTGTCCAGGGCCCCTGCAGTGGGAGGGGCAGGCGTGAGAGGTGGGGCCCTCCCACCAGCCTGGGCCCACTCTCTGCCTCTCTCTTCTTTCCCTCCAGCTTCTCACCCACCCGCTCTCCTTCTGAATCTCCTGCTCCCACATCCAGCACCTTCAGGTTCCCTCTTACAGCCCCAGCTTTTCTAAGCCCATCCTGGGCTGGGATGGGAAAGAGAGGGGACGCAAGGACATTTTTTCAGCCCCTCCCCCACCTCAGCTGAGAGGCTTCACTCTGTCTCTGACCCAGGCTGGGGGTCGAATGTGAGGGTGTCTATAAAGCTCTGTCCTGACCCTACAGATCCCAACACCTTCTCTGGTACCATCTCCAAAGCCAAAGGCTAGAGCCTGAGGTTACAAAGGTGGGAGGGAAAGGGCCATGACTTGAACTAGGTTCTATCTGAAGAGCCAGGCTTGGCGACTGCCGACAGCCAGGACTCATGGTAAGGTCTGCAGAGGTGCTGGGGTGTTTCCTGGGCAGCATGAAGACCACAAAGGGGTGATCGGTGAGGAAGGGTCAGATTCTGTGAGTGAAGGAAAGTGGCTGGGTGTGACATCCGAGAGTGGAAGAGGCTGGCTTCAGGAGGCAGTGACCACGGGGACCAGGACAGTGTCTGGCTTAGAGCACCTCGTGTTGTTGCTGTGTGGCCTCGCTGACGACCTGAGCATGAGGAGAAATCCAGTCTAAGAGGCGCCTCGGCCCCATTTACTCCACCCCACAGCAGCAGGACCTCCTCACCCCCACCCAGGGTGAAAGACACCGGGCTGGCAGACACACCATTGCCACCACCAAGGACACGGGGTCCAGCAGACCACTCACCTCTCCATCCCGGGTCTCGATGGTCTTGATCATCACCGTCTTTTTGGTGTGGACTTCAGAACCCCTTTGTTCAGGGCTGGTTTCTATAATAGACACACCCCATGCTCAGCCTGGCAGGTTCATATCTAAGCTGCACCTTGGATGGAACTCCATCCCAGGTTGCATTGCCCCATGCACCATCCAATTCCACCTTCCTCGTGACAACCTTCTGCCTTCTTCAAGACCTGGTCCTTGAACCCAGCACCCAACAGATGGTTCTGTAAAGCCAGGGACCAGTCCTGCTAAAGAGCTGACTTCAAGAGCCAAAGGATGGTACTGAGAATGCTGGTGCAGAATGGCAGGGGACCCAAGCCCCAGCCCAGTACTCAAGTCCCCTATGTCCCCTTGTTCCCTCTCCACCTCTGGATTTTCAGAAGAGCCCAGCGTGAGTATGTATCTGTGGACTCTCCTCTAAGACAGACAGCCCCAAAGCCCAGGCTGTGGACTTGTGGGAGGGACACAGAGGCCCCAGTTCTTTTTCTCTGGACGAGCTGCTTGGTGTCTTAATGTAAAAGCTAGTCACTGGTTGACTGTGCTGATCCCTACTGTGCCTGTTTCCTCTCTGGGAAACGGCAGCCATGATACTTCCCGTATTGTGGCTCTGGGCTTCTGATTTGCAGCAAAAGTGATTTTATATGCAAAATGCATACTTGGTAACTGAATAAACAACTAAGTGAAAAAAGAAGTCTGAGTTTTATAGTGGGGGTCACATTTAGTTCCTTGGTGTCAGGAGTTTGGCGTTCATGAATCCCTTAGCAAGCAAGTAGCCTGTAATGAACGTTTGACTCGATGGAGCACAGCATGTATTTTTCCTGATGGAAATGAACATCGAAGACGTAAAAGGTTTGATCTAGGAAAGGAGAAGCTGCCAAGATCTCCGACTCCCTTTCCTAATGTATCATTAGTGAGTGCTTCTCTGCTCTCTGGGGTTGGGAAGCCACTTAATCTGCATATTACTAATGTCAGAATGGCAGAATGCCTTCAAATCTCATTCTCTTCATTGTTTGGCTTTGCTAAAATTTGGCTTCCTTTTTCCAAATGCGCATCCAACATCTTGCTCTCCGCAAACAAGGCACTCAACAAACAGGCAGAGAACAGTGTGCCAAGTGCTCTCTGGCAGCATGCCAGACAGATCATGAGCAAGGGGTATCTTCCTGCCCAGAGAGTGAGATGCTCCTACTGCCAGGGGAACACCCCTGCAGCTTCCAGAGTCTGCCATTCAGAACACATCCTGATTCTTGAGACCCAATAATCCAGAAGGTACAGGGAATGCAGTCAGCACGATAGGATGCAAACCAACACCCCCACCTCCCTAACCCCCTCCCCGGTGCCTTATCTATCGTCTTCTTTCTCCTTCATGCCTGGTCTGCTCCAGGGTTCCATCCTCCTCTCCTAAAAGGTTTGAGCCCCTGCAGTCCCACCTGTGCCATCCAGTACACACTCACCTCGGAAGTTGAGAGCAGAGAAGGTCTGGATGGGAAGGTTGATCCTGAAAAGGGAGAGACCATATCCCCAGAGGGTTAAGGACACTCAAAACTCTTCCTGAAATCACTCCCATCACTTTTTTTTAAAAAGAGGTTTACACTTTTTAAAAAATAACAGGATTTTTTAAAATTTTTATTTATTTTGTACAGTGTTCTGCCTGCATGTATGCTTGTACACCAGAAGGGGGCACAAGATCTCATTACAGATGGCTGTGAGCCACCATGTGGTTGCTGGGAATTGAACTCAGGACCTCTGGAAGGTCAGTGCTCCCAACCTCTGAGCCATCTCTCCAGCCTCCCATCACTCTTTAGGCTGCTTCTCCCTAAACACCATTTCCAGTTGTCCTAGCTGCCCCCTGCCCCCTGCCCCGCAGCCCAATACTCTCACTACCCACAATGCACAGATCAAAAACCAACTCTAGCTATCCCAGGAATTGCCCCTTCTAGAAAGATCACACATTCTAATCCTGACCTTGGGCATGACACCAAGATGCCTAATCCCACTGCACCCTCCAGTCCCTGGTCCTCCTTGTTTCTGGCACTGGAGGAGGCATGAACAGCAGCTGTAAGGGACACTCACTTTGCGCCCACCCTCTGTGCAGGCCAGATCCAGGAGTGGGCCATTTATGCCTAGTCTAGAAAAGGGCATCTGGCTCCAGCTACCTTAAAAGGTCATCCATGTTGTGTTAGATGTAGATGTCATTCTACAGAACTCAGGGGCTGTTGATGTAGCTGGGCTACTAAAGGGCTTGCTTAGCACTCACCAAGCTGTGGTCCAGCACCCAGCACCATAGCAACCAGGCATGACAATACAGCCTGTTCAAGTTCCAGCATTTAGGAGATGGAGACACGATGTTCAAGGTCATCCTTGAACTACGTAGCAAGTTTGAGGCCAGCCTGAGCTACCTTAAGCCCTTCTCAAAAGAAAGAAGCAAAAAAGTAAGCCTGAATTCTCCTTGTAAGTCCATACCAAAACGTGGCTGCCACACTTTTATGAGTATTGACAACACCATTTTTTGGCATAATGGATCTGTCTTAAATTGATATTAAACTTGCATACAATGAGATGGGCAAACCTTTAGGACTCATCTAGTGAGTCTTGAGAAGTATCTATCCCCATGTAGCTGCCAGTCTAATACAGATTCACACTCTTTCTGTCTCCCAGAAGACTCTTTACACTCCTGTTCCTTGTGTCTGGAGGTTGGGCAGGTTGCTTTGCGCACATTGTGTCTTGTCCCTTGTGAGTGTGTGCTTGTGTGTGCACTAAATCAGCCTCCTCCTAAGGCCTTCCAGGTACAAGGCTGCCCGCCTCTCCATCTCTGTTTGTCTCTAGCAGACTCCCTCCCTGCTTTCATCTCTCCCTAGACTGGCAGTAATATTTTATTACTGATTGCTGAATATGATTTTTTGCTGCGGGTTCTTAATTCTAAAGGTAGATAAGGGAATACTAACATTTCTCTTTTTATAAAAAAAACTGTTAATTACATCTCACTTTCTTTACCCAGGTGGCCCTAGTTAATTTTCTGTGACTGGCAGAATAGTGGCCTCTCTCATACAGAAAGAACTGCTGCCAGGTCTTTTTGAGATCATCTGCGATGGACTGAGATCCCAGCACCCTACCCGATACCTAAATCCTCACCGGCTCTCCTCGCCCTCCAGCAGCTTGCGGTAGGTGGCAATCTCCACATCCAAGGCCATCTTCACATTGAGCAGGTCTTGGTACTCCCGCAGGTGGCGGGCCATCTCATCCTTCAGGTGCCGGATCTCCTCCTCCAGGCGTGCAATGTTATCCTGATAGCCACTGGCCTCGCTGGCAAAGCGATCCTCCAGCTCTCTCATCTGCCTCATCAGGGAGTCATTCTGCAGGGGATGAGGGGACCCAAGTCAAGGATAGGCCCAGAGCATATCTAGGAAGGAGGGCGCCAGAGAATTGGGGTAGAAAGAGACCCAGTGTTGGAGGTTGGAGGCAACTCCACATGGTCATGGCCAGGTAGAAGAATCGTCAAGTGCTTCTTTCTTAGTCATGGAGCCCTGAGCTCTAGAGAAGGCATATGTGGCCACTCACAATAAACCACCTAATAAGGAGCATCTACACTAGTCCTCCAACCCTACATAGGGAGACACCCCCAGGAGTCCTCCGATTCCTTAGTACCTAACTAGGAATCTGCCTTTACCTCCCTGTACATTTGAGGAGATGGAGACCCCAGAGGGTCTGTAATAGGCTCAAAGTGTCACAGAGTGAAGGTGTGGAACTAAGCTGTGGGCAGAAAGAGGCTGAGCCCGTGGGGATGGGGAGGGACTCACGGTGCCCTTGAGGGCATCAATCTCGCAGGTGTAGGACTGGATCTGGTGTCGGTACTCCATCATCTCCTGCTTGGCCTGGCGCAGGGCATCATTGTTCTTATTGGCTGCCTGGGTCAAGTCTGAAACCTGAGGGCAGAGAAAGGGACTCTGAGATGGGGAAAAGCAGGATTCAGTGTGGGCGAGGGAGTGTGGAAATCCCAGGCTCACCTACTCCATGGATGCAGGTACAGGAAGCATCTCGTGGAGATAGAGGACAGGTGCCAGGGTCCCCAGGCTAAACCACCTACCTTGGACTTGTACCACTCCTCAGCTTCAGAGATGTTCTTAGCCGCAATGGTCTCGTACTGAGCCCGGATGTCCCTGAGGGCCGCTGTGAGGTCTGGCTTGGACATGTCCATCTCCACCTGGACCTGCTGTTCCTGAAGCTGAGCCTGAAGCTCACGGATCTCCTGCAGGACACAGCTGGGCATCAGTCCCCTTCAAGACCCTCCCAAAGCACCTTCACACCCCCATTTCAAAGCCAGCCCATTGCCTAGCTGCTTTCACCATCACCCAAGGGCCCTGGTACCTCTTCGTGCACTTTCTTCAGGAATGCGATTTCCTCGTTGAGCGATTCGATTCTGCGCTCTAGGTCGATGCGAGCCAGAGTGGCTGCATCTACGTCCTGGGTACGGGGAAACAACAATGTTAGGGTCTGGAACAGTTCAAGTGGAGCCAAGAGAGAGAAGAGAGATGACTGCTGGGGACCAAAGAAGGCTCACCGCTCGGAAGGCAGCCAGGTTGTTCTCTGCTTCTTCTCTCAGTTGGATTTCCTCCTGTAGCCTAGCCAGGGCAGACAGACAGACAAATGGTGAGCTACAGAGCCATCAATAGAAACCACTGGCTGGGGACCTATCAGGGAGCCAGCTCAGGACACAGGGACAAGTCCTGGTTGCTGGGTAGAAACAAGAGGCTCAGAAAAAAAAATAGCAAAGGTCCCGCCCACGGGTGGGGGGGCGGGGTAGGAAGCGGCTGAGTCTCAACCCTGAGCCGCACCCTTGAAGTCTATGTCCCAAATAGATTGACCTCCCCGGGGTTAGGCACTGTGTTTTATTTTACCCACTTGTATGTTCTCAGGCCCAGCCTGACCCATGTAGCGGCTAAATAAATGTTTGTGACTTTGGAGACAAGAAGGTAACTCTGCTCAGTAGGGTAAACAGAAACAGGTTCGAGAATGTACAAAACTTTTCCTGCCTTTAATTTTCCTTAATTGTCTAAAACAAGTCTTGCTATGTAGGCCCAGCTGCCTTGGTACTTGCTCTGTATCCCAGGTTTACCTAGAACTCACAGCAGTCCTCCTGAATCGTCCTCCCAAGAGCTGGAATACAGGGGTGTGCCCCCAGACCGGAATTACTCAGCCTTTTCTTATTGGGTCATGGTGGAATGGGCTGGTCTTCTTGAGCTCTCAAAGGGCCACAGGCCTTATCCACTGCCCCCTTTACTCAAGCCTATCCTTTTACCTAGTGCAGTAGCACCACCTCAGCTAGGCCAAGGGGCCAAGCTCCCCACCTCACCCCTCCCTCGGGCCTCATCACAGCTGAGCTGAAAGTTAGTTACAGTTTGGTTTCCTTCCTCCTCCACTTCCCAATGCATCCAGTTTTCCAGGCTCCACCAGCCTCTCTTCACGCTCTGACCTGCTCTAGCCCTCTGCTCTGCCTCTGTCACATCACAGCACCACCGCTACAGCAACTTAATTAGCATCCTTTCCAAGGTGGCTGGCCACCGTGCAATAGGCCTCCCAAGGTCCCCCGTTTCTTCTCTCTATCTCCCAAAGAAAACTACTCCAGTGTAACACAGAAAGAGCAATAAAAAGATTCGGGGACCATCTCTTCTTAGGGAACACCGGGGAATGACCTCCAAACATGGGGTGAGGAGGGTCACGGGATCCCGGAGGGGGGTGCCTTGTTCCCTGCGGGGAGGGGGGGGGAGGGGGCGAAGGGGAAAGATCTAGGAGGCGCCGTGCCCTCACTTGGCCTTGAGCCTCTGGAGGTCGTCGATCAAGTTGTCGCGCTCCACGTCGACACGGGCACGCTGGTTGGTGAGCACCTCCACCTGGCGCCGCAGCTCGCGCATCTCCTCCTCATAGAGCTCGGCGACCCGGGTCGGCTCGCGGCCCTTGAGCCGGTTGACCTCAGCGGCGAGCGCGGCGTTCTGCTGCTCCAAGAAGCGCACTTTCTCGATGTAGTTGGCGAAGCGGTCATTGAGCTCTTGCAGCTCCACCTTCTCGTTGGTGCGCGTGGCCAGGAACTCCTGGTTCACCGCGTCGGCCAGCGAGAAGTCCAGAAGCTCGCCCGCGCCATAGGATGGCGCGCGGGTGCTCCCCAGCCGGCTGGCCCGCAGCGACCCCAGACCCCCGGCCCCGCCCGACGTGCGCGACACCTGGTACACGCGGGATGTCACTGAGCTCGAGGAGCCCTTGGTGCCGAAGCCTGCTCGAGGAAACACGGGAGAGCTCAACGGAGAGCCCAGCGAGAAGCTCGGGGCACCACCGAAGGTGCGGCGGTAGGAGGACACCCGCTGGCTGGAAGAGTAGGCCTGACTCATGGTGGCGGCGTGGACGAGGCTGGGCAGACGCACAGAGGAGGCAGCGGGCAGGCAGCCGGCTGGAGAGTGGATACGAAGAGGGGAGACACAGTCCCTTTGCCGTCGGCACTATTTGTAGCCCTCCTGACATCACCCCCCACCGCAGCCCCTCCCCTGACAGCTGCAGGATCCCTCTGTCCTGCCAGGAAAGGGCGGCCGCTAGCGAGGGGGCGGGGAGGCCAGCTCCCCTGCAAGAGGCCTGTGCCCCATGCTGCCCCACAAGAACAGAAGACAAGCAGGCCTGCTGGATGGGCAGCTAGCTGACAGGAGACCCCAGACCGGCCTCTTTACATTTGGAATCCTGCCTTATCCTGGGGAAAGCAGGCTGGAGATTTTCATTAGTTTGAGGCCGCTATCTTCTTCAAGGAGAGATTTTTAGGTCATTAGAATGAACAAGAAGGAACTCCCAAAGTATTTTACTTGCAAAGGTTGCTAGAAGAGGCTGAGGTCTCCAACCACTGGAGGTAAAGACCAGACAGGAGTCTACTAGCTCATCAAAGAGGTCTCTAGACAGACCTGTAGGGTAGGGGGACACGAATTAGGCAGAGAGTTAGCCTGGTCAGTGCCTGACTGCTTATGCGTACCACTGACAAGTGGGCTCTAGCTCTGAACCTCAATTTCCCTCTGGCGGAGTGCAGGCCTCTGGTTTCCCTCAAGTTTATAACCAGCAAGACAATGTCCAGAAAGACTCTGGTGACTGTTTGCAACCGTGGGGAACATTGCCTTCGCCTGACATTGCAAGCCCTGTCTCCCTCGCCCCCTTCTCTGATTCACCCCCTACTCACACCGCCCACACCCACTCACACCAGGGGTTTGTGTTTTGTCAGGAGCTGTGTGTCAACCCAGCCATCTCCCTGGCAGCAACAGCTGCCAAGTCGAAATACCAGAGCTGGTATTTATAGAGGAGGATGAATGCATGAACCAGGGAAGCAAGGTACAGGAGAGAGATTCTGGGGATTGGGGCCCAGGCACCTGAGGAGATGTACGTGCCAAGCAAGGTGTGTGTGTGTGTGTGTGTGTGTGTGTGTGTGTGAAACTTCAGTCACTCCAGAACCCCAACAGAGAAGCCCTGAAGTGGGTTTGCCCTTCTCTCCCACTCAGCACAGGGCACTCACTGAGCCCAAAGGGCATCTGTATTTCTCCATGCAGATTTCTGTGGCTCCTCACCTTCCCTGCCCTCTATACGCCTCTCACAGGACTGAGCCTTCTGGAATGCAAACCCTAGAAACAGAGCACTAGATTTGTAGCCACAGCTTTAACCCTGGAAACTGAGCACTGGGTTAGGAGCCCTGGTCCTGCCCAGGGCTGGTCACAAAGAGTTGCTAAAAAGCATGTCCTTTACCTCCCTAACCCCCAATGTCCTTAGTCATAGAGTGGGAACCTCCCATGACTGTGCAATGGTCATTTGAACACGCCCAAGGGACAGTAAAACTCACAACAATAACAACAACAATGCCTTATATGTACTGATGTCTGCTGGGAATGCCACGCCTATGACTCCCCAGGTCTCCAACAACCTCCTGAAGCATGGCCTGGTATAAATCCCATTCTTGTAGCTCAGCACGGTGAGGGTCTAGGCTTTGGCCCCAGACTGGATGTGACTATAGCAGGTGATGCTCACATTGAGCATCTAATTTTTATCCCCGAGACGAGCTTGTTCGATAGATGAGAAGTTCCAGATATTCTTATTCAGCCTTCAAGTCAGCACAAGCTGTTATGTTCTAGTTATTTTTGGGTCTCAGAGCCCAGTCTAGATTGTATGCTTCCAGAGGATTTTGTGGGCTGTATGGATCCTTAACACATCCCAGGCAGCACCTTCAGTTGTCATTGCCACTGAACACAGTCTACATACTTTTTTGCCCTTTCTCTCACTGTGCCTCTTCTCACCAGCACGAAGAATAGCTATGTCACTCTGATCCCAGCCAGTCCTATTGCACCTCCTAAGAGTGAGAATTGGCTCAAGGGATACAGAGCCTGAACAGGTACAATCAAAGATCTCCTCTGTAATTTATGAATGGAATGAGGTTTGCTAAACCGGCCTCTTGTGGTAGCCTTGTTTCCCTGCTCTGTGTCGGGGTGGGGAGCTGTCTACACGCTAGGCTTGGAAAGCTGGGAGAAGCTGCTGACCTGGGTGCAGTTGTCTGTGCTGAATGGTCTCACGCTTGCCCTCCACTCGGATCAATAAACTCTTTTTTCCGCTAAAGGCCCTTGATGTTGGCTTCAGTCAGCCCAAAGAAACGGGTGTGAAGGACATTGCACATTCATTTCTGTGACGCTGCTGAAAGGATGTTGCTGGGGCCTTGACAACCATCCCTAGGACACATAAGGGAACTGGCTTTCAGACCAGCTCAAGGCCCCTCAGTTTCTTAGTGAAATGAGGCAAAAAAACAAATAAATAAATTGCATCATCTCTCGTCAAGATCAACAACTACCAGGCTTGGCTTCAAACCAGTTGGGACTTTTCCAAACTGCAGTTCCACTCCTGAGGAACTGAAATAACACTCTGGGGCCTAGAAGGCAGGAGAAAGAGAAACTCCAAATCACACACTGCCACTGGAGCAAGACCTTGGCCTCTCCAGGGGGCCACTGGAAAATGCACACACTAAAAATAACCATCATCTTCCTGGCTGGGCAATGTACATGGTCAAAACACAAGGTATGCAAGAGTTTAGTGAAAAGTTACTGTCTCCTATTTTTCAACAGTTAATCATCCCATCCTGTGCCCACCCCTGAGTCACACAATCAAATTTTAGATGGTGGCTGTTGTCCTAGAGACACTTTGAGCATATATTTGGAACTGACCTTTTTAAAATTTTTGTTGAGCCGGGTGGTGGTGGGACACGCCTTTAATCCCAGCACTTGGAAGGCAGAGGCAGACAGATCTCTGTGAGTTCGAGACCAGCCTGGTCTACAAGAGCTAGTTCCAGGACAGCCTCCAAAGCCATAGAGGAACCCTGCCTTGAAAAAAACCAAAAAAAATGTTATTTGTAGCCCAGACTGGTCTCAATCTCAAGATTCTCCTGCCTTAACTTCCAGTGAGCTGGGATTACAGGTGTGTACCACCACACCTGGCTTCTTCTGCTTTAAAAACATTTCACATGCTGTTCTGAATCAAACACACAGATGAGTCAGCTGTGTTAAATACCCATTTAAACACAGGCATCTTAGAAAGTGTCCTGTTTCAATATCCTAATAACAGTGATTTTTTATTATAAAATATATGTAGTATAAAATTGACCTTTTTGTTTGTTTGAGACAGGTTCTGCCGTGTAGCCCTGGATACAGATATAATACAGACCAAATTGATCTAAACTTGTCTTGATTCTGCTGCTCTGCCACCCCTGTATTGGGATAATAGGCCTGTGCTACTGTGCCTGGCCATTTTTGCCATTTCTAGAAGAGTCGTCAGCATCAAGCCCATTCTCAGTGTTGTGCACTCATTATTACTACCCATCCTTAAACCATTTTCATTTTCCCAAACTGAAACTCCACAACCATTTAATTAATCCCAGTACTCGGGAGGCAGAGGCAGGCGGATCTCTGTGAATTCGAGAGAGGCCTGGTCTACAAGAGCTAGTTCCAGGACAGCCTCCAAAGCCACAAAGAAACCTCTCAAAAAAAAAAAAACAAGAAAAAGGTAGTAAACCCATCAAACAAACAACAAAAACTCAAAAAGTAAACTGAGGCACAAATCTTAGGAAAAAATTATTTACTATTTGTATGTATAAGGGTGTTTTGCTGGTATGGTATGTATGTCTGTGCACCACGGAGATTGGTGTCCAAGAAGACAAAAAGAAGGCATAGGGTCCCCTGGGACTGAGTTACAGATGGTTGTGAGCTGAGATGTGGATGTTGGGAATCTAACCCAGGTCTCACGGAAGAGCAGCCAGTGCTCTTGACCGTGAGCCACCTCTTCTGCCCCAACGAACCTTGAAGAGTTTGTTTGAGCAGGAGCTGAGCATCCAGCTCAGTTGCCCAATACATGCACAGCCTTGAGTTTGATCCCTAGCACCACATCAACTGGGTGTGTTTAGCACATACCTATAATCCTAGGACATGGGAGGTAGAGGCAGGAGGATTAGAAATTCAAGTTCATTCTTGGCTACATAGCAACTCTCAAGCTAGCCTGGACTACAGATTTTGTTCCAAAAACCAACAAATGCTGGAGTGTATTGGAGCTAACAATGATTTCCGGCTTAGGCAGCTGCGAAGGGAAGTGGTTCAAGAGTTCCATGCAGGGAGCAGAGGGGTCAGCATTTACTGGTCAGACACAAAGACCAAGCAAAGACAATGCTTGATCGGTTGCCTCATCTGCCTGCCTTTGTCTCGCCAGCTGGGAATCCCGGCCTGTGCCTGTTAGCTGTCTCTACTTGTTTAAGCCAAGTTCTCTATTTTTTTTTTCTTTGCTTCTTTCTCTCCCTCCCTATTTCCCACTTCCTTCTTTTGTTTTGTTCTGAGATGTTTGTGCTGAGTAGCTCAGACCTACCTGGAACTTATTCTGTACCTCAGCCTGACTCTCCTGCCTTAGTCCATGCCTGAATGTTTCCTATTAGCACAGCCTTGTACAAGAAATAGCTCCAATTAAGTTTCACTTCTATTTGCAGAGCAAACAAGTATTAGGTTACTCATGAGCCCTATCTGGCTTTATCTACTCGGGGATTCTTCAAGCCCATTTAAACACCGTATCTTATTTCTGTCTCTATGAGTTTGATTGCAGTAGGTAACTATGAACATGGAATTATACAAGATTTGTCTCCTTGTGACTGTTTTATTCAACGTAGCACAATTTCTTCAAGGTTCCTCCACATTATAGTAGGTATCAGAGTTCCCTTCTTTTTAAAGGGTGAATGATATCCCCTCATTTGTTATGCTACTCTGTCTGTCCCTTTATCTGTTGATGGGTGTTTGGATTGTTCCCACCTTTAGTTATTGTGAAGAATACTGGATGCTGCCGTGTTATAATATTGACCTGCCGGGTGAGACA